AATGTATAATAATTAAATGTGGAATTATTAATGCTCATGAGATGTTTATGAAACAATTTCAATGACAGAGAACGGGAAAGAAAAATTCAATATCGAACATTAACAGTGACAAACAAAAGAGGGACCTGTATTTTCTCCTTGGAGACTCATCAAAACTAACAAAAACATATGACTTTACCTGGCCATCAATTATTACATAAACGCACTGGTATCTACTGGTGCACGGTAACAGTTGAGCACAAATTACATTAATTATTCAAGTATTTTTTGTGTAAAATTACCATACTAATATTGTTAGAAAAAACATGAATGTGACAATAAATTTTCAAACATCGTGCATTCTTTATAAGAAAAAGTGATATATTTAATAATTTTCAGCGTGACATTTAAAAGTTTATGAATTACTAAATAAATGGGTTTTTTAAAATCACATGTCCGTGTCAACTTGATTGATACATATTCCTAATGAATTCTACAACTGTTCTATAAAAATATACCCGTGCCACGGTGATATTTCTCATCACCGGTGCACAAGCATATCTTCATCCGCTGGTACTTGTAAGGGTATATAGGGTTCTCATCAAAAAGGCTTTCTTGCCGACTCGTCCAGCATTTAAAACCCATTGTTCTTAATCCATGTGCTTTCTAGAATCCGTCCATTCAGATAAAAACCTAATTAGAACCCGACACGGGGTGCCGTTCCGTCTCCGAACCCCCTAAATACCCCGTAAATGTGGGATCGTATATTGATTTATCACATACCCACATTCGTCCAGTGATAAAATAAGCATGAAAGCATATTACAAATCAAAATTAGTCAGAAAGATTTTACAAGCCCCGAAGGAAAATCTAATGCTTTAACCTGGACTTGTTTACTTAGTATTATATGTCCTAATGTTTCTAATCAATATGGAGTGGTTGTAGTATAAAACTTTTATCAAGACAGGGAGGTGCAGTTTTTATGCTGATGCAACCATGTAGATGTAATATGTCAGATCAAACTATGAATAAATTTTAAAAAAAATTCCATAGTCATTTTTAAAAATTAAATTTGACGATTTCAATAACTATATGAATATTCTAAAAGAGTTTAAAAGTAAGGACTGTAAATATTTCATTTAAAATTAATCAGGCTCTATGCAGTGTATGGTACATGTAACTACTGCACCCCCTGATGCCGTTAATCAGAAAGATGTTCCTACAACTGAATAATGTTTATATTTACTTTTCTTTCGACCATTTAATATTTTAGATTTTTTTTTTACTTCTACTTCCGTGGGATTCATCACATATATTCTACTCTTAATTCTCAATTTAAATTCTTTCATCACTTAATGTTCGATAAATATTCAATGGAAAGATCTAGTTTTTTTTTTCTTTTTTCTTCCCATGTGTTTCCTCAAACTCAATTTAAATGAGTGTGCAGAGAGAATTTTTTTAATAGTTTTTTTTTTTTTCTATCTTTTCAAAATAATGAAGGCACTTACTTATATGAGCTATAAACATATTTTCATAGATTTTTTTAATCGATGAATGAAAATATAAAACAAACAAATATTTCGTGGTATTAAAAATATATTTAAAAATATAAAAATACAGAACGCACAAATCAACTACGCAGACATTTTAATCTTATTTACATTTTAAAAATTTATATTCATTGATATCAAAATATAATTAACGCAAACATTTTTTTAGTGTAATCAGGTGCCCATAAACCTATTCACAGTTTTATATTATGCACGTCGATATTTGCCAAGTATTAGTGATATTATTTTTTTAATCGAAAAAGATCTTTTTAAATAAAATATTCAACTTTGACTAAACCTTCTCATAGCTTATCAAAAAGAAATATATATCTCGTAAAATTGATACTGCAAACATGCATATTTATTCTTTAAACTGTAACTAGTTGACAAAAATATATTGAAACAAGATTGATTTACTATAATTCTTTGGAACACAATACTAGTACTCTGAAAAGATCATCTTTAAATGGTTGACAATGATGTTTATTTATTCATCATTTATTTAATTATTTTGGTCATATTGATAGCAATAATTGTATTTTTCAGTAACGTTTTATGGAACGATAGCTCATTTCCCTATTTTCAAAGAAGAAAAAACAATAAAAAGACTCAATGGAACTAAATCAACAATTGTCTCTTGATTCTAGACGCGTTGACAAACATATTTAAAACTAAAACTTTCTATATAAAATTATAAGTATGTTAAATATAGTTTTATAACGTTAGTAACTTGTTACACCTCTCCAATAAGAGTATTTGCGTCGTCATCATACTTAATCTCAACATAATCTTCTATACACATATTACATGAAATTGTGTTCTTACAACATTGAATATATACATGTACATGTAGCTTATATGCTCCCTTTCCAAAACAGAAGAGATGATATAAGTCTGGCGTTTAATTATCCACAATTTTAACCTACATTATAAATAGTTAGCCTACCATTTCCAATTCTAGTTGACAATTTCATTTTGAAGGTCAACTCTGTGGTGGTAATCAAACACACAGAGACATTAGTCATATTATTTAAGAATTTGTGAACAGTGGACACACTGTTCTCCCATGACTTTTACTTTGAAATTGTCATTGTACGCATTTGTTGTCCACTATCATTTAGATTCACATCAATAAATACTCGACTAGGTTGATTCAGTGAAACGTATTGCAAAAACTGTTCTACAAGACGTTACATTTAAAAAAAAAACATTTCCACCACAAAAAATTACACTGTTAATGCAATAATTTAGAATGCTCACACTTTCTATTCCAGAAAGTTAATTATATCTTGCAGAAAGCCCTACGTGTAGCTATACATAATGAGGGAATAACAGAGAAGCCTTTTACTAGAATTACAGAGCAGGGATGGGGGAGAAACTGTTCAGTAAAATTTAAATAACTTAAAGTATCAATCTATACATACTCCACTGAAGAAAATGAATGCTCAGTTATTGACTTCTTTTGCAATAAGAGCTTTCTCTACAAAGTTATGTTTTTTACTATCATCTTACGATATTGAATTACTGTTTGAACCCCCTACTTAAAAAGTTTTCATTAGCTGGGATATAAATTTGCTTTTTGTTAATTCATGTACAACTTGATCAATAGCATATATGTAAGAGCGGTCTGATTATCAAATAATATACAATACAATAGGGAAAACCGTGCTTATAATCTAATTTACATGCAATGAGATTTTACTGCTGCTCTAAATAGCGGTATTATTCTACATTCTCAAAAGATACCTTAGCTTTTAGAAAGGCGAACATTAGTGATGCAAGAATGAATCAATCTGCTAAACAAAAGCAGAACTCAAAGAAATTGATTTGTAAACAATTGCATATGCATCTTTTCTTTCAACAAATACTACATCGCCATTTGTTTACATTTGAAGGCTACTTCTTCTTTCATCAAGGATCTAAAAATGGCAAGAGGGGCCTTGATCGAATACAAGTGTTTTGGCATATACAATTTGCATCACTCTACAACGAAGCTTTAAGCCATCGTGTGCTTCTGGAATTCCCATATTGTTAAAATCATTAGTTTATTGGACATTAAGTGCATACATGTACTTCCATTGTAAACTCAACTCAAACAGAAACGATAGATATTTAGAATAGGAAGGCACTGAAGCCTTGGAAATAATGGAATTTTTAAATTAATATTTTTGCATTGTTCATTCAAACAAAATACCAATGCTGCTCGTAGTTGTTACGTCATTTTAATGTTGAACGGGGGTGTTTTCTGTGAATCAGTCGTTTATCAGTCACATGGTCAACAAGACTGGACAGCTTCTGGTATCGGAATTACGTCACTTCAAGGAATCAAAGTGATTCACAAGATTAGTCAGAATAATTAGTACAGTGTACCTTTAATCAATAAAAATGTAATTGGGCGAGGAACTGTGAATTACAGAAGTATTTTTCGTGGAATTTGTTTCAATGTTGCTTTGTTGTTCACCTTTTTTTACACGAACATGTTTAATTTTTTGTCTTCAATGTAACCTTTATAATAGAGAGTACATTCTTGTTTTTCTATCATTATCTAGTTTTCCTCGAGTCATTTTTGTCAACTTTTTAAAGTTTTCTGAATAAATTATTTTCTGGCACGAGCTTGTAATGGACAATTTTTTGTAAACTTTGAGAAAACGTATTTCAGTACAAACTACCCTGGAAACTGCTCAACTGCAATTTTCAATCTCCTCATGTTCTGAAAGCTTTTGTCAAAACCAATCATAATCTACTTCCTAAACATTAAATAACTAGCATGTTAATGTGACAAACTTGGCTAGACAGCTGGATTAGGCGATATCTCGTTCTGGAAAGACAGGAAGTGACGCAATGTAATCATTTTACAAATCTAAATTGGGAAACAACTTGATAACGTTCTGGTCTATCATCGGTGTTTTCTGATGTTTAGCGTGGTCTGAATTTATCTTTTACGTGTCATTAAGACAGATATATAATCGATTGGGAAGGCTATCATGGACCGAGTGTAAAACGATTTCATTTTGTCAGAAGACTGCCGCCCCCAAGTTGTTACAGCAATCCTATCATCTCCTTCATCACGAATGAGAATAATAAAGCTTAAGTTTCCCCCAATGTAGCAATTTATTTTTAGCTACTGTTTCATACATGCATTTTGATTTTTCAGATATTTTCATCTGAATGAAATTTATGAAAATAGGCTAGAGGTGGAAATTTTTTTAAATTTTTTTTTTAACATCTAAGAGTATTGTTCAAGCGCACAAAGATACAACTTTGATTACCACTCAGGAAATTGAAACATATATTACAAATTGCAGAGGATATAATATAAACAACCCATATACTTCAGCCATATTTCTTACTAAAACTGTATCTTCAGAATTGCCAAATTATTTTTTTTCATTGATTAGAATACTGATACCATATTAATTTTAAAAAAAAATTGTTAGCATTACACAACAGCTAACAATTTGACTCACTTACCAGAGTGGTGGGGAAGTTATTAATGCTGTTAGAACTGCCACCGGACGCCACAGTGTGGTAGCTTCCTATAGTGTCGCTATATCTCACCGTTTTCTTCCCGCTGTCTCTTTTGTGCTTGGCGTCATTATAACCACTTGGCCCTGGCTGTGGTGAAATGGACCGTGACGAAAACCCGGATAAAGGTCGACCCTTATTCCATATATTGCAAGGTTTCACAGACAAACTGGATTCAGAATCTGTCACACTCGTCTCGTGTATCACGTGTGAATGTCTCTCCAAACTACTCGGTAAACTGACCGTTTGGTCCACAAAATCGTCTGGCACATTTTGCCGCGTTTTTTGCCACCTAACGCTTTGACTATGTTTTACAGAACAGTTTGACTCGGAACCACTGGCGCTTTGATGAGACAAAAATGGCTGTCTCTCTGAAGTCCCATCTTCCTCGTGATATGACGATATAAGCGTTCCATTGCACACAATACGTGGTCGCAAATCTATGTTGATGACTTCCGGTTCTGTTTCATCTGGATAGCTGCTGTTGTTTAATAGTAAATCCGACCCAGACAACGCTTCCGTTTTAATGTCCCCACAATCAGTCGGATATCCATAAACATTTTCATTAGTTTCAGTTGCTTGATCATGTAAATCATCAATTGAATATGTATTTCTTGAGGTTGAAAACTCAGTTTCTAAATTTCCATTTGGAAGATTTCCATTAACTTTAATATGACCAGGTGGTCCACCATTACACATATGATTCTTGTCTTTTCTGTGTATGTTGGCAATGGCAGGGTGAACACATAGACTATTTGACTGTTCGCCGGACCCGTTTATGTAGTGTCCTTTATCACTTTGGCGTCTTTTTTCACGTGCTATTTGGCAACAACTACCGAACTCATCCTCTTGTCTCACACGAGACTGTCCATGAAGAAGCGGGTCACTATTCCTGTGGTAGAACAACGATGCAGGTAACCTAACGTCCGAACAATTTTTGGGAGTAAAAATAACTGGAAATCCATTTAACCCATCTTTTTGAAATGGTAATAATTCCAGGGATTTTGAAGTGTTATTATTTTCTGTTGTCGTTTTCTTTTGCAACAACTTGACAGCATCCATGCACGAATATGCTAAGGTTTGTGTACCTGCAATACAACAAAACAATCAATCTTGGCTGAATTACACAGCACCAAAACACCTTCAGACGATTCAGTATCCATTAAATGGGTGATTATCCAAGCCCTATCTGCATAATTCGTTCTCACCTCATTTTACTTCACGCAGCTATTTCTAAAATCGAAATACACAGAAGGATGAGGAGGCCTAGTCTTTTTACCATAGAGAGAATGCGCCTTATCAGTTCTTGACGTTTGTCAGTCATAATTGCTTCGTGCCATACATAAAATCTTCAGCTGTACCAAACATGAAATAACCAAGGCATGCGTTGTTTCTTATATTCCATCTCAAGGGGATTTTGATAGCTTTGTGCTATAACCACTATTCAAAATTTCTTCAAGGAAATTCCTTCTCCGAGAGAGGTGCTTGTGCGAAAAGATTATCCCCAATGGGGCCTATGACAGACCTAATCAATTCATTGTATTAATATCGAATAAAAATTGCTCATAGTATACTTTTGTTAGAACCGGGAGTGGCGCATTTCAACAAATATTGCCATCGGTAAAACAGCTGTAAAATCAATTTAAAAATATACAAATGTTTGTAAAAATAATATCATGCATGTAGTTACAAGTCTTCATCTGCCATTTTTTGGCCTTGTTTAAATTATGTGATCTCATTAGTTAAAATAAGAATGATGAAAACTTAATGCTTCCCTCGAACCACAGCCTTATTCATTATTAAAAACTTTAAATAACCGTCAAAACTTATTTTACGTCATCTTATATTCAAACAGTATATAGGGTTTCTCTTGGCAAATAACAAGATATGGACATCTATTCTTGTTTATAAACTTTAAATGCCTTAGAAATATAACCCAAATCAATATATTTTATCTACTACGCCCAATTAGTTAGTTGGATAACCATGCAACACAAGGAAAAATGACGATCTATTTACTCTCGTTTTTCGTGAGTGGATCAAAATTTTTGACATAACTCTAGAACCCAACTTAAGCCTCTTTATTACCTTTGCATCCTTTTATACGTGTTTCACTTTTTAAAAATATCTCTTGTTTGGTTTTGTGATGAAGTTTTTGAAAAGAAGGTCCGAAAATTTTTGGAAAGATTTAGATAAATCGATACAAAACCCTCACTTGTCAGAGGGGAGAAGTTGACGGTTCTTCCAGCGGAGTTGTTTTAATTACACACTGTGCGGGTCCTAATAGATTACCCTCCATCGAAGTTAGGATCAAGATTGTCAGAGAATCGATACATATAACTGAACTATTCTTTCTAACCATTTCTCAAGTTTCAAACAACTAAGGGATTCACATTCGAGGTTAATACATGTAGTTAAAAAAGCGATAAAAATATGGGAATGCTTTATTTTCAGAAGGAATATTTTTATTTATAAAAAAGGGAAGAAGATTTTTTAGCTTTTTCTTGATGTATACTTCTAAACAATATTAAAACTTATGGATTTAACCCTCAGCCATCATGCTTGCGTTTAAACATTTTTAATATGATTACTTTACTATGATAATTTTGGTTATTCGAATTACACTGCCAATTCATATATGGCATTACATGAATTAGCTTTGAATGTTTTAGATTGATTCTGCCGCCCCCCCCCCCCTCCATTTCGAGATATTCTCAAAAATATTTCACTGATCCACAAGCAAGTTCTTTCATTACACCCAAGTTTTTTTTATTCTAGAAATTCCACTATTACGAGAACGACGTTTTCTGTAATCAGTAGACCCTTTGGATATATTCCTTGCACCACAACCCCCTAAAGATAGTCCTGACCATTCAGTTTTCATTAATCACATACAGACAAAACCCGGCTCCTTTCGTCTTAGTCGGGTTTTCCTCTTCACTTTTCAATAACTGTTGTTAATTTGTCCAAATTTGATTTTGTAGCCACGTTGGAAGCGCCTATGGATGTACTGTAATTGGACTTTCTGAGTGGTTTATGCCCACAGTAAACCCGAATCGCTACAGCTGGTCTTTGGTTAACCCTTCAGAGTCACTTTCTAGTACTATATATAGTATATATGTATATCAAAGGGTAATAAATGGATACGGGACAAAAATTAGAAAGGGAAGGCGTAGTTAAAGCAGTAACCAAAATGAATGTTGTAACATATCAATGAACAATGCAAAAGCTATTTCACTAAAACAATTTGTTGGGAATAGTTTTTTTTAATACACAACATGTGCAAGTAAATTCAAAATAAACTTGTTCAAAGAAAATTATTTAGGGTAATATGTAATAAAATTGTAAAAATAACATGTCTGTCTTACAGCAAATATCAAAATACTATAGAGAATAGCGGTATAACAATTTCAATTTTTAAAAAATAAAATATACGCAGTAAACAATTTGAAACTAATTTCATTCAAAAAACGCTGAATAGTAAGGCAGTAAAAGGATACAGAAATATTGACTATATTGTACAACTTAATATTAAGAAAAGTAATACAAATATTATACCTTGTAAACTGGTCCCCACAGACGTGGCCATTTTGTCACTGGTTTCTAACAGACATGCGCTAAAAGTGATCTAAGAATAAGTTCAGAATTTCATAAACGGAATCTGATTCTTTGGGGGTTCAAAGCACATTGTTGACTGCAAGCTTTCGGCAATTTATTTACATGATCGTATTATTATTAATACAGAAAGGTGCGAATCTCGGTTTATATTAAAAAGGCTGACCGTCAAAGTTGCTACTGTGGAATTGTTTCATTTTTGAAAAATAACAGACACAATTTCAATAATCTAAAGAAATAAAGGAATAAGCATGGTACTAAACATTTGACGATCGATGCTTAGAAAGCACTGTTTTGACGCCATATCGATCCAAATCACGTGACTCTTGGTCTTCAGAAATAATTTGATCTTCCGTGAGATGACAAAAGATAATGATTTATGAATTTATGTTTAAATTTTAATACGATTTCCAACACGGCAGATTAAAAATGAACTATTCTCGTGTAATCTGTGAATTCCAACACACTATAGCAAGTACAAGTGAATTAATCCAAGAATAGCTAGATTTATTTAAGACGCACAAAAGTATTCCGCAACACAAATTGGAAGTTCAGAAGAACATTCCAAACGAATCACAATTCCTTAATACAGCTCACTCTAAATAGTTCAAAATCCTGTAAATTCGTTGAGGTTCACAATCGCTAACCGGAAGTTGTCTGTCTTAGCAATGAAAATGCTGCTGAACATAATTTAAAGGGAAGTAACTGTTGTATTTTTCAATTTATTGATCTGTTTTTTGCCATTTATTGATTAGAATTCCGAGATGGCGGTCGGGACACAGCGTTTGCATTGATTGGAATTCTGGCCAGAGAACATTAACGGTTCTCAACGTCCAACGATGTCCCCTTCCAAATTAACTAAGTATATGTTCACAGAAAGAACTGCCCTGCACCATCGACGTTTTTCACTTATATTTGAAGCCCTAAAACGATTATATTCACACGAACATGATGACTCTCAGCTTACACAAATATTTATGTTTTCTGGGTTTTCTTTTTTGCACTCTTATACAGATTTCTTTTAGCTTCATTTATATTCTACATTCACTCGCTTCCGAAACGAGCATAACAAATTGTATTCGAAGAAATCAATCAGAAATAATTATCGTTTCATTTTCTGGTGGGATTGAATACAGAAAATAAAGTTTGATTATTTTATGAGGTAACATTGATTAAACTTTATGATCGGAAAGAAATGCTGTTAAAGGAGAAAGTTCCTATAGTTATTTGTTTTCTTTTTTAATTGATGTACGGTTTAGTATAATGTTATCATTCTTAATTGAGATAAGTTTGTTTCACGGAGATAGCTTTTTAGATTTTTGAATATATAATAAAAATTAAATTGAATACAGTTAAAAATTAGTAAAGCTTTATTGGTACAGTTAAATAATGAATATTATCCATGCTTTTAGATCCCACGGGTGGATTGGGGTAATTTGTTGGCAGTTTCTTTGTTCTTTCAAGCAGTTGTCTTGGTAATGATCTATTTCATATTGGGGTGTAGAAAACAAGAAACAAAGCCTGTATGAATATCCCATCTTATATATAAATTTTCATCACACTTGAGCATCTTGCAAGCAAACAATGTGCGTAAAAATGTTAGTGAACCAATGACTAGAAATGTTGGCTGGATTGAGATTTAATGATCATTTATATGAAAGGAGTCCCTGGTTATTGAAAATGAATCTAAAAATGAAAAGACATTGTGAGCAATTATTCGTCTGCAATATACATTGTATATTCCATAGGTAAAGTGTCAGGTTTGAAGGCCAGAAGTTTACTGTTGGTCATATACTAGTATAAGCAAATGAACCAATGTTTTTTTTTTCTTTTATTCTCCTGAAATTTTTAGAACCAAATTTAACGCATAATTAAGTAATACTAGTAATAAATAATGGCAATTGTGAATTTTGTATCCATTAAGTATGCAGTCATAACGAAAAGATCTGTCCTAACCGGTACTGATATTCTTCTTCCTTTTTTAAAAATATAAACAAACAAAATTCTGATCAGTTTTTCATCTCCAGAAATTATGCAATATTTTTAGTTACTTACATGTATGTGTTAAGGTTTTAATTACAAGATTTTCCATAAATATTGCCAAAAGTCATGTATATTCAAAGTCACGGGGGGGGGGGGGGGGTAGATTATGAATTACATGTATTTGTCAAAAATTTAACTTACTTACAACATAAATACAAGGTGGTAGTATGAGAGACAATTTTGACTTTCATAATTTTTTCTCCCAGTAGCTCCATCCAAAATGTGTATATATAATAAAAGGCATTGGTCTCTGCAGGAAAAAGTATAACGTTCAAGATTGTGTGATAATTTCGGAATTCAAGCTTCAGTATACAAGCTCGATTCTTCTATTTAAAATTGAAATGAATAAATGTTAATGATCTTGAAACCTGTCCTACTGTTCGTCCTTCAGGTTCAACTACATGTATAAGTAAATTAAATCACTGAAAAAAACATCACTTAATTTACTAAATAAAGTGTATCTATCCATGTAATTTTTTTATTAAGTGTGTGTCCTTTTTTGAGGAGCAAATATATAAAAACATCACTTCAAAGTATTGAAAAATATTAGAAATCATACATGTTTAGAAATGCAAAATGAACTCTACATATACTAAGTTATTTTTGTTTTCTACGCGGAAGGTTATGAAGACTATAACACCTTTGAGAGAGTTTCTATGTGTATTAAATTTTCAATATTAATGTCACTTTCAGATGCTGGAGAAATTTATGAAATACACGGGAGACAACCCAACCTTGAAGCGTGTCGAAACTAACTTTTATTGAGTTGCGATCCTTACTAAATGCCTATATTGTACAATTTACTCTTCAAACATTATAATTCAGTTTAGTTTACAGTTTTCAAAGTTAAGAAATATTTTACTTTTCTCAACGGTATTTTGAAATAAAAAATACTGTTAAAAATTTTTATTGGATTCCTAAACATATATTGGCTCATGGAGCACTTATTTTGTGGGCGAACGACTTGGTATAAAATATATCAGGTCTGCCCTGTATGAACTAGGGAGGGGTCTCCTCCCTCCACCCCTCCTTATATGTTACCTGTATATACTATACAATAGAAAATAAAGTAACTTTAAGGTTGTGTCCCTTATAATAATATTCCTGATGCTCTCTCTCCCTCTCTTTTTTAATTGCTTGTCAAAGATTTTTGTAAGTTTCCCTCAACCCCCAACCTCCCGAAATAAAATAAATTCATTCCTCCTTCTTTTTTTTTTTTTTTTTTTTTTTTTTTGCCCAAAAGGGATGGGGGTGAGAAGGTTACATAGGGGATATATTTTCTTTTTAAGACCATTCAAACCACTTTTAAACATTGAATTTTTAAATCTTTGAAACATAAGATATAGAACTGTTTATTGTTCTGGCTATCCTTAGTCACTGGGCAATCAGGGACAGCTATAGTTTGGTGGCATGTCTTGCGTCATCTTTCTGTTTTGTTTATTATCGGTTTACTAGTGTATTGTTATCTTTTGAAAACACGTGCGATACGAACATGTGTTACGAACATGTGTTTTATCAGATTAACATCCGTTTCACTTAGTGAAATACTTACCAGCTTCATTACGTAAAAAAAGACAAACCAAAAACAGTTATTCATATAAAGAATGTACCATTTTGGCTTCAAATTATTTTTTACCTTGTTTGGTTTGAATTTCTAAATATTTCATTGCAGTTTACACTGAAAATCCTTTTTTTTTTTTAAATTTGTGAGCATTTCTTTCACTCTCAGTTGTTAACTGAATATTACTGATACGAGTCAAATATGTATATATATATAAATTGAGTCAGTGCAGGTCCATAGCATCGGTTTTAAAAAGGGGGGGGGGCTCTCAAAAACATCTGACAAGAAAAAAAAGTACTCGAAAATCCTATAAAGTGGGTGATGGGGGGTAGTGTTGGACCTTTCTCTAACTTTTTAGTACATTTTATATCAAATGCTGGAAATTTTCTAGTGTTCGACCTTACAGCTACAGAAAGTGTGTGTGTGGGGGGGGGGGGGGGGGGCACCATCTATAAATGAAAATTTACATATCAAAACTACAGCGAAACAGCTGAAGACTATACTCAGAAAAAGGTTGGGGGGGGGGCATGACACACCTTCCCAGCGTTCTCATTGATCCAAGTTTTAAAAGTAAATAGTGAAATATATAATATCCATAACACTGTGATCGAAGTACGAGTCTCTGACGTATTACCGGGCTGGGTTTTCCACAATTTCAATGGTTTTCAGCTATAGGAATGAATATTATTTTGTTACCTTATAAGCAATGGTTCAAGTCACATCATGTTTATATAAGTATTTATAAAAGCCATGGCTGTAGGAACCGCGGACGGGAAACAAAAAAAAAATTGCCCACTAAAATAATTACGGGGGTATCAAGGAATTTTTGCTTGATAATGCCCACCCAAACTGAAAATATTTAACTGTGCTCACCTAAACTGTAATTGCTTCCTACGGCGGGCCTGCAAGTGCAATTGTCTTGTGTTCTATTTCTTGCACTCTATGAATAAATTCATCTATGTATAACATTTGAATGTTTGTGGTTCTGGAATATGTTGTTCATACTTGGCCTTCTCACATTCTTTTTTCTTATAATAAAATAGTAGGAATGTAAAAGTAACATCTTTGAGATCAGGAAAAAAAATGTAGATCAAATATATATGGTCATTAGATCTAGATAGCATTAAATTTTGATATAACGGAATAAGGTGAAGTATCAGTCTACAACTCCAGCCTTTTAGATATAAAATTCACTTTTTGAATTACATGTAAGTGTTTAATGAAATAGTTTTGTCATAAATATAAGGTACAGTATTAAGCAAGAATTGTACTTTCAATATAAAACGAAGTTATCATCCAGTATAATGCAAAATGTGCACTGAAAAAGAGGCATTTGGGGGGGGGTGTTTTGGGGGTTTTCCTGATTTTACAGGACTTTCCAAATATTGACATTTTCCTTGGCTTATTCGACCACTTTCTTCTAAACACATCATATAAATCTCCTCACTCAATCTACAAGTCATTTTATCTCCAAGTGCAACGAAACAGAGGTACTTGACAATATAAACATTCGTCATATAATTGAAGATTACATTTACTCAGAAAAATCAGTAAGCACTTTCCGAGGTGTGATAAGAATTTCTCATAATATCAAATGCACTAAGGAAGAATGAAAACTTAAGCGCATGACGTACTTGAGCATTTTCACACAAACTGAAACTGAACAGGATTTGAAGTAGTTTCATTCAGGATATACTCAGTCTGGTAATTTGTTAGATTTCTGCTGTAGCACAACATATTTAAAAATTTTGATTGACATATTGTATGCATCGGGGCTTGTCTTCCGCGGATTATTAGAAAAAATAAAATGAAATAAATAAATAAAATATTAATTAACTTTTAAATTTCCTTATTAATTAAATCATTCTAATTCTACACGCAAGTACACTGTATATCTTGAAGTTGCTGTTAAATAAATGCTGGGGCCATCATTAAAAATATCTTTGTTTCCCCTAACCCGACCCTAAAATTTCAATTTGGGTAGGTAGGTAGGTAAACTATTTTTTTTTTCTGACAGCAGTTTTGGAAATACATTCTGAAAAATTAAATGATATCTTTATAAATAAGAAAGAACAAAAGAAACCAATTTTTTAACCGAATATCATACAAATGAAATTTAAAAGCAACATTTGTGGTAAATTAATTCACAAATATTATTCATTTGAACTTGTGAAATATCTCAGGTCAGCATAAATTTATTGAAATTGAATTTTTACAAAAAGACAAGATTTCCAAATACTCAACAATCTGCCATCCGAGTATATTTTTTCAAACCTAC